CTTTGTTGATCCCAAATTCAGTTGCAAAGCATCAATCATTTTAACAAGGTTTCCTTTGAAGTTTGGACTTCTCAATATTATGATAATATTATCTTCTCAATATAAAAACACCATGGTGTATTATATTTGTTACCTCTCAGTGGTGCAGCCCTTTAGGTGGCCCAGATACAGTACACGCTGGTGGAGGAAGCGGGCCTCTTTAAGGACCGACATGTCACGAAATGATCAGAGGGCGATTACTGAACCGCACTAATGAGCAACCTGATCTCTTAACGTTCCCTCTCCCACCTTGTCGCCCTTGATGTATAACCGTGTGATGTTTGACGAGAGTTGGGTCAGTGAGGCTGTAGGGGGCGGTCCTACACATGGCCCAGCTTTGCATGTCAGTCCCAACGACTGGTACCTCCTCCATCACGACCGCCACCACCTCTAAGCTAAGCCTTTGAACCGATGGGACGAAGGACTCAGAGTGTTAAGGACCACGATACGTGTCCAAATGTATGTGACTTTTTGGTGCACATGCAGACAGTTATTCAAACTCTGGTACGTTTTGGTGCTAGAGCTAAAGTGGCCCACGGTCTCCTGTAAGAAGAATGTCTGATCCTGGCACCAGTAAGGGAAATAGATTAACAGCAGAAACGTTGATTTACACTGATTGACAGAAACTTATGGTAACATTTTACATTCTTCAGCAGCACAGACAGTCAGAGAAGGTCAAAAAGTGGATTCTAGGAAGTGTAGAATTCTGAGAAGTGGATGGATGGATGGATGGATGGATGGATGGATGGATGGATGGATAGATAGATAGATAGATAGATAGATAGATAGATAGATAGATAGATAGATAGATAGATAGATAGATAGATAGATAGATAGATAGATAGATAGATAAAGGTTAAAGGTTTAACTTTTTAATAAAAGCAGAAGAGCAAAAAATATTGAAGTCAGGTCAAGGATTTTTTTTTTCCAGCTCCAAAACACACTTTTTAGATTTAGGCCACCTGTATGAATCTCCTGAATAAATTATATTTAGCTAAATCCTGGCATCAAACTTACATCTGGTTTTATTAAAGAAGATTGGATCTGCTGTACTGGTCCATAGATATAAAATCCTAAAATGCAGGGGAAAATGATGGAAACTTTCACTGTCGTCTAGAATAAGACAGACGAGGAGATCAAAGTGTGCTGAAACAATGGCCTGAAAGTGAATAAAAACACCGTAAAATTTTAAGATACATGCTAAATCTGTATCCAATAGGTGTAATGGTTAAATCCTAAGCATATTGTGAGCAAATGTTGTCCACCTCCCCCCGATGTCAGAGCAGCCCCTTCACGTAAAAATTGAGCAATCCTGTGTCTGTTTGTGTCAGCTGACCTGAATCTAATTTTAACCAGGCAGTAGGACAGCAACCAGGAACAGAAATGGACCTGGAACTATGAAAAAAATACATTTATACATACACCGGTGTTATTGGGTTATATGATGTTATGTTTTTAAAATGAAGTGGTCAAGTTACAAATTGCATGTTTTATTTGGACCAGAATGAAGTGAAAGTATAAAGTGCCGTCTGCCATCACCCCTGCTCTTTTCACGTCGTGGCCCAAGTGGCCCGCAGGAGGGAGAAACCACTTAGAGCCAGTCCCTGAGTCTCCAGGGCCTTGAGTGTCTGCTGACCTTTCCTTGTTTTTCTTTATTCTCAGAAGGTCAGGGCCTAAATGCAGAAGAGGGAAAATGAGCCGTTACTACACCATGTTTCCACAGCTAATGGGTCCAAGTCTTAGTGGGAAATTAAAGGCTCCTCGACTATACGTCACCAGTATCTTAGAGGTGACAGTGAGGTTAAAGGAAGGCCGTAGGAGGTATTGATGGGCTGCTGATAAAATCGCCAGCAGGTTAAAAGAAAAACACACTTAAAAATACCTTGGACCAAAAAACAAAGATTTCCTTTTCCCTCTCACTGGACGACAACTTTTGAATTTGGAAACAAAATTCCCAACGCAGTATCACTTTTACACCAGAGTCCATTTCAAAACAATGTATCTCCATTAGGAGCTTTGAATGTGTTTTCTTATGATTTAAGTTTAGAATTTGGATGGAATATTTGCTAAAAATAAACAGTCAGATTTGGATCATAAAATTCTAATCACCCATTACATTAAAAAATATTATTTTCTTTATGGACTTGGGTACAAGATTAATGAAGATTTCTTTCATTTTGTTTTTCTCTCCTGCACTCATTACCAAGTGTCCAGCCTCAAAATGGCTTCAAGAAGTTGAACAACTTGAACCTACTCTCCGTGATGTGCAGAGAAGAGGTTCACACCAGAGAACTAGACAGAATAATTTAATTTAATTAGGAACTTCATTCATGAGTGGAAGAGGGACGTGATATGCCTTTTTTTGGGTGGGGGGTTCTTGTTCCTATGGAAACCTGAGGGGAGATCACACAAGGATAGAAAGTTGACCCACATTTTGGCTGAGGAAACAGAACTGACAACCCCCACATTACCCCCCATGGGCAGCCTGCAGACTGGTTCATTACACACACATATATAGTGAACATGTTTACCATGTTTACTACACCCCGTTCTCCGCCCTTTCACCTCCTGCGGCCCTATCCAGATTACTTCAGTCCTACCCACACATTCCGCAGCCCTCCACTCCCTCCATCTGCTGACATGCAGGAATTGAAAATTGGATTTTGTTTGACATCATTTTTTTCAAAAATCTGCTGCACACACCTATTTTACCACCGCATAGACATTATACAAAAATATCCAGGTCATCATCATTGTAAAATTTGACACCATGGCAACTGGACCTGTTTGGTTTGGAAATCTCATGACAGACACAGCTGAAGCATGATTCATTACAACAGGAAGGGTGAGGGGGATGCGAGCTTTGGTTCTGTGTGGTTCCTTGATGTAGCAGTTTGCACACCTGCCTTGTCCTGGGTTTGATTCTGGATTGTTGCATCTATAAGATCATTTAACCCCAGCGTCTGACGTCTGTGCCCCTCTGCTCTCCATCGCCTGTCTCTCCTGGTTACTGCTGCATCACTGAGCAGGCTACCATTGTGTCCTCAGGCGATAGTTGAAGGCTTGAAGGGCTGTGAGTGGATGCTGGGCTCAGAAGAGAAGCTTGACAGACCACAGTGATCGGTCTTGTTTTGTTTTGTTTGTAGAATAATTTTAATTAAATCATGATTATGTTTTTTGCTGATTATGTAAAGACTACATTAGCAGTTTATATCTTTGTTAACTTCAACACTAAACTTGTGAAGTATTATACCAAATTACTTTTTAAACGGTGTTTTTCTGTGAATGTTTAACCTCGAAGCAGAGTTCTGCCTCTGCCTTGGTCTTTGGCGCACCCCAGTGGTCAAAGTGTAAAACACCATTATGTACACAAACGGTGCTTATGTCGTGGAGCGAAACGCTAATTATATAAAATTGATAAAATAAAGTCATGTCAAGATCCGAAAATGTTTTATTTTTCTTACCAAACTTGTAACCCGATGAATATTTGCAAATGAAATCTTTTTATATCTAAATTATAAATAAATTCCAGTATGGCATTTACGCGTATTAATTTTAACATTAATATTAACATTTTTTAACAATTTTTGTTTTTGTTTTGAACATTTTCTGTAAATAAAATATAACACGGTGATCAATTTTTACATTTTGTGAACACAATACTGATTGCACATTTTGGAAGTTAAATTCAAAGTGGTCGTTAAACTCCTGTTACTACATTTATAGATTAAAAGTATTGCATAATTAGATTATTTGAACTTTTAACTTTTTTTAACGGTTTATCCTGCGGGTTTTAAATGCACCGTAATGGACCACGAACGCACCTGCAAAGTGACGTTGTCCTCTTAATTGCTTTAAGCGTCAGTGTGAGACAAAATATCTGAATATTGATATAAAAAAAAAAAAGACTTATTCCGGGCTTTGACCATGGACGGGCAACATATACCGGACGCTGTCACTTGCCATAATTGTGGTGAAGCCTTCACTCTACCCGGTATAACATTTGCATTAACGTTTCTACGGATTTACGCATTAAAAAGTTAGCTATTAATTGACCAAGCTCCAAGCAAGCTAAATCAGCTAGCAGAGTATATTGGCTAACGCTAACGTGAAGCGTCCCTGCAGCCTGTGTTTAATGATATTTTGAAACTTTTCCTAAATGTTATTGTTTCTTTCGAAAATAAAAATTCTAAACTACCCTAGGACTTAACGTCAAATGTACGTAAACGAAGCACAGAAACAATAACTTTAAGTTGTTAAGCCGTTATGAGGTCGTTTATTTATATCCAGTTCCATTAATATATTTATGTCTATAGAACTTAACATTGCGTATGAAATGTGCTGTACATATTTTAAAATGGCAAACCAAACAGTTGATAGTGCTTTTGCGCGTGTTTACTTCCAATACGACAACAAAACCCCACTGCGTTCGTTTGCTCTGACGATACTGGGTTTTTTTTTCCAGAAGATGAAACTGAAGGCAACCTTCCTCGAATCCTTTTGTGCAGCCACATCTTCTGCACATCTTGTCTGCACTCCATTCAGCATGAGAGCGTCATTAAGTGCCCCGAGTGTGCGGTAAAATAATTCATGTCATTCCACAGTCGAAATACACTTAGACTTTTATGCACACTGTACCATAAATGTGACATTTTCCACTCTGCAGGTTGAAACCAATCTTCCTGAAGGTGGAGTGTTCTGTCTGCAGGAGGACAGTAGAATCATGGGCCTCATATACACAGCAAAAATGAACAAGACCAAAAGGTAAAAAGCAGACATTTCTGCTGAATGAGTAACCAGATTAATAAAGTTTAATCGTGCTTTTAATCTTTCTAGCTCACAGCATGGCCAAGCAAAACCCCAACAGAGAAGACGGTCACTAAAACCTACAAAAGCTGATGGCAATAATGTTAATGTGAAGCAGGTGAGTTTTTACAAAGATTACACTCAGGATACACACACGTATATATATATTGGTGTGTACATACTGTGTGTACATATATATATATGCATATGTATATGTATATATGTGTGGACGAAGGAGTGGTTGGATATACAGTGCATGTAATTCTGCCTATGCATTTAAATGTGTTATTCTGATGAATCATAACAAATTAATTCATTTTCAGACTTTATTGCACAATTTTGCTCTTTACTTTATGCAGCCTGTAGATACTGAAAAGATCCGGAAAGTTGTTGATAAAGCGTTGGCCCAGGCGTCAGAAAACCTTGTCCAGCTGGAACACATCCATAAGGTGAAGGTCCATTTATACTGTATTTAAATGTTAATAATATAAGTTGTATTTCTGAAGTTTTTCTCATTTGAAATATATATATATATATATGTATGTTTCTTTTGTGTAGATTCTGACAACTGGTTTGGAAGAACAGGTGAAGAGGGAAAAGGCACATCTAATGGCGGAGATTAAGCATGCGACAGAAAAGGCTGTAACGGCTATTTATAAGTGGTATGTGTTCCACCTGTCACACAAAAACACGGTATTTTCTCATTAGGAAAAATTAGAAAAAATTCTTAAAAGCAGCACTAATCTGTGTGATTACATTTTCATGTACAAAAGGAGGAACATGCAGCTGAATCAGCTGTCAGATCTGGAGGCACGCTTTTCCACCACCCACATGGAAATATGCCATGTCCAGCAAAGGATTAAAGCCCTGGAGAATGCCGTACAAATGACCAGAGAAGTGCAACGAGTCCCCTTTCTGGAGCAGTACTGTTGTTTGGATAAGGTCTTTAATGGGATACTTTTGTACATGCTAGAGATATGTTTCACGGTAACCACACTTTGTTCAGCCAGAGAAAGCTGCTGAAGTCTCTGTACGTTTGTGTTCAACAGGTTTTAGAGACGTTGCATTCTCAAGTGGATCAGGAGTTGTTTGACATGAAGTGCATCACTCAGAGCGCCGGAATAAGGTTTGTCTTAAATCCATGTTTATTACCAGGTTTACTTGTTATAAAAAAATCATTGGTTGTGGTTCTGATTCCCAGGGACTGTGAAGACTTATCAGTCCCTGGACTAAGTCAGTGCAAAATGTTTTGGCTCATCGTCACTTTTTTTTCCCTAAAGGTGTGTTTTCAGGTCTGAAACTGTGAAACAGGGCATGACCTTGTGTCTGAAGATGGAAGTCAACGACCCAGAACTGTGAGTCCATTAAAAAAATTATATAATTTATAATTTACAACAAGATAACCGGATTAATACCCTCTAACTGTATGTAGTCTTTTTTTAATTTATTCAGTTTTTTTTCTTGGTTCATTCATTTAAATTTTCATTTCAATACATGAGTTGGTCATTTAGGAATAGGGAAAATAATTATTTGTACTTTCTGTTTTTGTGTAATGTTTTTATATGAAGAACGCCTTTTGTTTTGTAAAAATAAAACTTGAACTTGGTTCAAAGCAAATTTGATTTTTTTTTTAAATATATTTTCAGTTCATATATGCTTATTTATTTTAATACTTTGCTTTTTTTTTTTACATGTGCATTAAATTCCTGTGTCTTGCTGCCTTTGGGTAGTACACCATAGGGAATAATATATTAAAGATATATTGTATATCGCAATTTGCTACATATAAACAGATATGACTCTTGAACCACATTCCACAGTCCTGGATAGATTTGTTTTTTCTTTTAAAGTCTGACACAAACCTCTGCTCCTTTGTATTTTTTTAGCTTGTTCCAGGGACCGTCCAAAAGCCACATGCCGTCAAACATCAGCAGAAACTCACTTTTGCAATTGGCTGAGGACAGAAGTAGAAAGGTTGTCTTACCTAGACCTAGTCACCTGTCCTCACCTCAGAGATGGGACCAGAGGAGCCCAAGAGCTGACAGTCCTTCATCTCAGGGATCATCTTCAAGCCCAAACCCTTATTATAAGACCAATCCTTCTCCCCACATCAGAGCTCAAGATGTCACTGTGAATGAGTGTTCAGTAAAGAGACAAGAACGTGGTCTGTGTCTCTCTTATGTCCTCTACATTAACACTGCTTGGATCACAATGCATATTTACACAGGAAGATAAATAATGTTTTTTGTTGTTTTTTTCTATTGTGTAGTTCGTCCTCCCACTGGTCCTGAGATGGCCAATGAGAGATCAAAGTTCAACAGGCAAAAGAAGCATCAGTTGTTGGGTAAAGACAGTATACTGAGACACATTTTCAAATCATGCTCTAGTTAGTTGACATTAAAAGTCCAGTTCGTGTTCATTGTATTCCCAGTGACCCAGTGGGTGGTGGTGTCTCATATTGTGAGTCCAAGTCACTTCTATGTGCGATACGTGTCTGAGAAGAAAGAGAGTGAGATCCTCTCCAGAAAGATCAACCACTTCAGCCACATGGACACGTCCTTCTTCACTTCCACTGATACAGTGGAGACTGGTGTGTAAATGTGTTCTGTTAAATAAAATCACATTTTCCTACGATTACTGGAGACTGAGCCTGTTCTTCTCTGTTTCACTTCAGGTTCCGTGGTCTTTATCAAAGGCAGGAGTGGACTCTGGTTGCGAGCCAGCGCCGTTGCAGTGACTCGTAATGATGGCGTATCAACTGACAAAGCTTGTAATGTCACCGAGCTGGCCAACGTACGAGTCTTCATCCAGGACCATGGCTTTGTCAAAAACATCACAATACAGAGGTAGAGATGTTTTTGATGCCTTTGTTAAAAAGGGTTGAATTTGAATGAGTTTTTTTTTTTTTTAGCAAACTCTGCTTAAATAGTACTAGATGATTCGTCTGGGAGCTCTGTCTGAATCCTGACCTCTAATGGACTGTTGTACTAGCAAATAAGCAAAGGATTTTTTTACTTTGCCAATCAGTTGCAATTTGTCAACATTTCTCAGACTCTATGCTCTGGGCATATTTTCTGGAATGTGTCGGTAGAGTGTTTTTAGAGTGATTTGTGGTGCACTCAGTGTGACATGAAAGGTAAATTGTAATGCTGTATTTTTCCAGAGAGGTGACGACTCCTGAGTCTCTGCTTCAGGCTGTGAACCAGCAGATCAGGAAGGTGAATGATTTGGTGAAAGTGGAGCTGATGCAGTTTGCTCCTCAGGCCATCAGATGTTCCCTCAATAACCTGGTACCTTATGACCCGGTACGACGACTAAGATATTGATAACAAATTAAAATGATTGATAATTATCTCCCTGCTCAAATTACATTGCATAAATGTGTCTTTTATTTTTCAGACAAAAGGTTGGAGTAAAGAGGCGCAGGTTGAATTCCGCAACATAGTCGGTTCCGCCACATTGGAGATGAGGCCCTTGGGCCATGACAGAGAGTCTTTGCTGGTGGATCTGACTAAAGCTCCCATGGACCAGGCCAGCGATGTGTCCATCTCTGTTAGAGAGTACCTGGTTTTTATTGAAGTGGCCAGGTACACATGTGCATGTTGAAAGAAATCCTGATATCTGGTAAAAACAGATCAATCTTATTTGTGTTGTCCGTCGATAGGTTCTATTCTCCACTGGCACTGGGAAAGACCCCGCTGCAGTACTACCCTCCTGTCTGTCCCAGTGTCAGTACAGAGGTTGATGCTGTGGTGTCTCACATCAACAATCCTGCTGACTTCTACATCCAGCTGGTACTTCACGTTATTGTGTGCAAACAAATTATGATGTTGATTTAGTGGAATAGAGATGAATGAAAACATTCATGTGCTTTCAGGTGGAAAGCATGGAGTTCCTGTTGCTCTCACGTAAGCTACAGGATTGTTACAACGCTGTGACCGGTCAAGACGACCTCAGCGTCTACTGTCCTGCCATCGGCCAGGCCTGTGTTGCTCGCTACGATGACCAGTTATGGTACAGGGCTCATGTCATAGGTGGGTTGGTGTGCAGATCCAGCCTACAGCTTTGGTAAAAGCATCTCTTAATAACCTGTGTGTGTTTGTAAAGGTCATCCTGGTGGCAGAAAAGTCCAAGTGCAATTTGTAGATTTTGGCAATATCAAAATCATGTCAGTCAGCGACGTAAAGAAGGTCAAGAATGAGTTCCTTGCACTTCCTGCCATGGTGAGAACAAACCCGCATTCAACAGGTCAATCATATGAAAGTTGTTTTTGTGTTTGCTTGTCACTGTCTACTGGACATAGTAATGTGCTGAATTTAGACTATTTGAGTTGTCTCTTCTTTTCAGGCCGTCCACTGCTGTTTGTCGGACGTGATTCCCTTAGAGGGAGAGCAGACCTGGAGCGACAAGTGCACCCACAGATTCATCAACCTGGCTCATCAGAAACTCGTCACTATTGTGGCTACAGGTGCAGTTTACTTTTGTTTGTTTTGTTTTAGTCATTATTTTAAAAGTGAAGAATGAAGAAAATCACAGGTAAATTTCCTCATTTCTCTTGTTTCTGTCCCCCTTTTCTCCAGGTAAAATTTCCAAGACTAAGCCTCTGCACATCCAGATGTTTGTGAACGAGTCTTCAGGACAAAACAGCATCAACAAACTGTTTGTCACAGAGAACTTGGCTCGGTTCAAATCCTGGTAAGATTTGTCTTTTACATTTTTCATTTCAGAAGTTCTTTATAGATGTTCGAATGCCTGATTCTGATTCTGATCCTATCGGTTTATCATCAATCATTCCCTCTCTTTCCTCTCGTTGTTTTTTTCCATTGCCTGTCTTCCCATCAGCTCCAAGTCCAAACAGTCCACCTCCAGTGGTGGAGACGCTGCTGTATGGGACCCTCCACTTGAACACATCTCAGCCACTGAGGACGTCGAATCAGTTGAGACAAAGGAAAAGTACAAAGAGATCTTGGATATACAACAAATACTCAAGCTTTCCTCTCAGTTCACCAATCTGAAAGTGAGAGTCAGTCACGTCAACTCCCCCAGCAGTTTCTATGTGCAGCTCTTACAGTTCAGCTCTTGGCTTAAAAGGTCAGCGTTTAAAAGGATCCTCTGCACCAAAGAGAAAATACGTCATAAGTTCTCTGTTATTTTTGTGATCTGTAATTTTGACTTTATATTTTCCAGGATATGTGATCTAGTAGAGCAAGACTGTGTTCTCAAAGAGCCTGAGGAAGTGGTGTGGAAGACAGACATGTACTGTGCTGCACTCATTAATGGAGTTTGGGAAAGAGGACGGATCTGTTCTGACGTCACCTCCACTAACATCGCAGAGGTTTGGAAAAATTGTCCACTAATGTATACATCGCTAAAGTAAAAGATATTTTTTTTAGGCCCGTTCTATTTATTGGTCACTCAGACTCAGTCTTTCGATTTCTCTTCTGGTTTGTAACAGGTGATACGTTGTGACCATGGCAACAAGGTGAAGCTCCACATCAACAACCTGCGGCTTCTGCCCGGTTCATTAGTGGGAGCTCTGGCACTGGAGTGCACTCTGACTGACATCAGGTTACCACATGGGCCCACACGCACACACACTCTGTCACATCGGTCATATACTACAGATGGCAACAATTTACCCATAATTATCACTTGTATTTGTCTGAGCATAAAAGGAGCTGGAAAGTCATGTCTGTGACCACATAGCAAATTCTGGAGAAGTGAGAGCATTATGAAATATTAGTAAAAGCTATGCAGGCATTTACAGCTTAGGATTTTTAATTCATACCACGTTAGTTTGTCTGTTGTTTTTCCTCATCTTTAACGCAACTCATTTTCCATCTCAGGCCAGCAGGAGGCCGATCCACCTGGACTGCCACGGCCTGTGACTTAATCTCCTCCTGTCTGACAGGAGTTACAGCGATTATGACCATTAAGGTATTTCTGTCCCCCTGCCTTCGTTTCTTACTTCCTTTTCCTTTGTACACATTTCTTTTTGTCATTGACATGTTTGTTTTTTGTCCACAAACATGTTTACTTTATGGCCGTGACCATGTTCAGGAGATGACAGATGAGCCTCCTGTTCCTGTCACTCTGTTTTGCTCCAGTAAGAAGGGACACTCACTCAGCTTTGCAGACTTTTTGGCAAGCGAGGGCGTAGCTCTCAGAATAAGAAAACCGAGGTTCGTCTTTCTGTGCGATGATTTTTTGTTGTTGTTTTGGGTTTGTTTTCCTCTGGAAAAAGTGTTGTGGCTAAAATGATGGGGTTTTTTTTTTCCAGAGAGCCAGTTGTTCAAGAAATAGGAGAAGCACAGGCAACATCTCCAGTGGAGAAGACAGAAGATCAGAGCGACGGTGGAGAAATCAACAACAGCAACAGCAGCAGTACCAACACAACTCATCCTCCAGCACTTGATGCCATTCCATTTATCTCCCAAATCTCCCTGTATTCCTGTCCTCCAAAACCATATCCACGGAAAATGGTGTCGGCTGAGATTGTGAGTTATTCAAAACAAAAACAAACAAAAAAACTGCACCAAGAAAAATACTTATGTGTGAATAATTATCCCTTGTGTGTATGAACAGGTAAAGACAAAGTTGTACGACCCTCCACAGCTGCCGTGTCTCAGTCACATCCAGATACACGTGTCAGCCATCGGAGACAACGGTCTCATCTACATCAGGACACAGAACACAGGTTTTTAGACTTTTTGTAACCAACAGAGAGGTTTGGGATTGTCGACTGCAGATCAAATACGTGGGTTCTCTGTTGTCAGGACGTCAGTATGAGCAGCTGAGGGAGAGAATTCAGAAGAGTATGAAAACTCTGCCCATCCAGAAGCCTTACACCTGGAAGTCAGTGAAGGGCTGTGCTGTGATTGGATCAGATATGCTGTGGCACCGAGGAGAGCTGTTGGAGCTGCTCGGAGGACACGTCAAGGTCAATGAATGTCAATGAAATTGATTACGTGCTCTACAACAGCTGCTTCTAACCTCTCTGATTTATTGAATGGAAAAATATGGTATATTTGAATTAAGATTTCACCATACGCTTTGAGCACTTCTGTAAGGTCTTGAAGCCGCCTTCATGCTTTCACAGTGTCCTAGTGTAGGAAGTTGAATCAAATCTAATCTTGAAGAATGAATGTAGTTCATCTACAAGGCAAGGATTGAGGCATTCATCTAATGTGCCGCTCCATTATGTCCCTATCTACTGTACTGTGTTTTCCAAACAGATACAAGTGATGAGATGAGATGGTGTCTTTCTGTGTCAGCAGGTCCGCTATGTGGACTGTGGTCTGGTGGAGAACATCCCGGTGGTGCATGTCTACCCTAAGCTGCTCTGCGAGGAGGTTCCACAGCTGTGTATTCCCTGTCAGCTTCACGGCGTCAACCCTGTAAGAGCTGGCAGCAGACGAACTCAGATTCTGTTTATACAGCAGATCGAAGCCAGGCTTAAACTTGTCTTCACTGATGCCGTACTGTAGAAACTGCTGTTAGTTTCCACGGTATCAGTCTAATGTTGGTTAAACTATCTAGGGCCAACATAGAAAATAAACAACCGTAACCCGTTGGATCTATCTATCTATCTATATATATATATAAATTAAATACACTAATTGCCTCTTAATGTTGAATCTCTTTGACATATTTTTCTTGCCCTTCTTCATCCCTACACTCCTACACCTCAGATCGGTGGGACATGGCAGCCTGAAGCTGTGGCGTTGATGAGGGAGATGTTGGTGAACCGCAGTGTTGACATGGTGGTTGTGGTAAGTTTGACTTTTCACACCCGAGTGAAATCGCTGTATTTATGTCACCTGTATTTACACCATGAACCGGCCTCAGAATAATAGTAGTCATACATGCTTTGTAATCTCTGTCTGGAACTGATGTGTTAAATTAGTCAACACAACATACCGTTGTTAATATACGTGTTTTTCAGGAGCTGCCGTCTGATCCTAGAGGACCTGTCACGGTGGAGCTCTATCTGGATGGGCTGAGCCTCAGCAAGATCCTGTGTCATTTTAAACACGCCTCCATGGACAGAAGTGTACAACAGAAGGTTCTTCTGCATTCATTGCATTCTATATATTTTCAGTTTTACCGTCACAGATTTGAACTGCAAATGTAAACTGTGATTGTCTTCAGGGACAGACCATTTTGCCACCTCCCTCATTCCTGGACATCTGGGACATTGATACTGAGGTATCATCATTATAACCATCATCAGAATGAAATTAAAAAAAAAAAATAACCATCATCATATAACATTGAAACAATACTCTCAATACATTTACGTTACTGCCTTAATTTTATGAGATTTTACAAATCTTTACACATCAACAACCTGAACTGTTGGAGCTAAATGTCATCGTTTTCAGGGTCTGGAGGATCCGGCAGAGCCAGTGCTGAGGACCTTTGTTTTACCAAAGCTGCCAGAGGAGGGTGAACACTTTCATGTCAGTGTCAAACACCTGTGGACACCCAACGAGGTAATATGACAAACATGGAGGGAACAGACAGTGGCAGATTTTCACTCACTGCATGAGCACAAAGTGTTAGGAGTACTGCTCTCGTTCTTGCAGCTCTTCCTGTGGCCTCTAGAGGGCACATCTAATGTGAAAGTGAATGGGGAGACGCTGGAAGACGCCCTGGCTCGCCTCAATCAGGACATCAGCAGTTTACCACCACTAACCAACCTCATTCCTGGTAACGTATCAGGGTTGTTGTTTTTTTTTCCTGCTCAGGAAAAACTGTGGTTTATTGTTTGTTTGAAGCCTTTAGACGTGCTAACATCCACTGTCATCACATTCACGTCAATGATAAGAGCTTTGGTAAAACTGAACTGACTCAGCGTCTGTGTTTTCCAGGTTGTCCATGTCTGGCAGAGTACAGTGATCTTAAATATTACAGGGCAAAAGTGATGGAAATCAGCAGCGTGGAGCCCGTCACTATCCTGGTCCACCACGTGGACTTTGGCTCCTACGACACTGTGCCCACCAGCAGGTCTGATGTTCACTCGGTACATTTTCACAGATGGTCTGATCTGCAGCCTGACCTGTCGTTGTGATGTTTTGTCACTTCCTGTCAGGCTTCGCCAAATCCCACCTGCACTGCTCCAGTTCCCGCTGCAGGCTCTGAAGGTCAGAGTCTCAGGCCTCAAGGCTCCCAGCAGTAACACACATGAAACTGTTCTTCCATACAGCCCCAAGTGGAGCGTGAGGGCGATGCTAGACATGATCAGGCTGCTGGAGAACAATGTCACAACAGCTTTGGTGGTGGTGAGATACACAAAGAAATTTGAAGTTTCGTTTTGACCTGCAACATAATCGCACTGTGTAAATCCACTTCAAAAAACCAGGTCAAACCAATAGCAACTTATTTTAGATTATACAAACGTTTAGAAAAGAGGAGCAATACTTTTTTTTTTTACTTTAGAGACTATATTTAGGAACTACTTAGTTAGTTAAACTGCCCCTGAGAGGACAGTAAAACAAGTATGTCTTATATGAAACGCAAAAATTACACACATTGCACAACACATTAAAGTGTCCAGATTTTACACAACAGTTCATGACCATAGATCAGGAAAAGTTACAAACCTTCATGAAGAAAAAGTAAGGATAACCAGGTCAAACTGACACGTGACATTATAGGTTTAGGTTTAATAAAAGTAAGTCTAAATATTAAACTACTAACCACTACCAAATATCCAAGTTCATTATTAGCTCTCATTTTCTTCTGGAGTTTCTTCTTGTTCTGGGTCTGACACATATAGTTGGACTGCGGGTTGTTGTCCAGTGTCCTATCAGTTTACCATACCTGCCAGAATGACACACCCTACCTTAGAAAAACACTGGATTTCACACACACCTGTCATGATCTGCAGATTTAATGGCAATTAATGTTTTATCCTGCTGTTCAACTGTTGCCATGGTTACATTAAACTGTCCTCAGGCACAGAAACGGTCATCCAGAACAGTTGAGAGCTGTTGAACCGGTTTAAAGAATTACAATGGATCTTAACTTTGGCTTTTTCTAATATAAATACTCCTCAAGTTGTGTTGTCTTTTCTTTTAAAAACTCAAGATACTAAGTATAGTAAGTTTAATGAAGGGATCATTTACATCTGTGCTTAACTGTCTGCAATCCTTTCCCCACTGTCCAGAAAATGTTTTAGATTCATTTCACATCATTAAAGTAGCCATCTGTCTCACTTCTTCTTGTGTCCTTAGTCGCAGGAACCAGAGCTCACAGTGCAGCTGTACAACCAGGACAAAGAGTTGGTGTACCTGCCTCTGGTCAAGAGTGGCCTGGCTGACCTCGAGTGAACAACAGTGGGACAAAACCCCTGAGCTGTGTCTGTGACACACACGTTGTATTTCATTTAAATAACGAGTTATTTTCTGTTCCATTGTTTATATGACCTGAATAGTGTCTTAAAAAAATAAGTTGGTTGCTTGTTTGAATACCAAGATTCTAATTCTTTTTTTTTTACTTCAAAATTTTAAATGGCCTGTTCCTGGACCCATGGACAATAATGGACGGACAATAATTTCTTAGGTAAGATGAACGGTAAGGTTAAGAATAAGAGAGATAAAGGTAGTTATTTGTCCCAGGGTTAGTTATTCAAAAGAGTTTGTTTTTTCTGTGTTTCAGGTTTTATTCTTTGTCATGTTTTTCAGTCCTGATCATCCTCATTTCATTCTGCTCTTCTGTTCTGCTGCTGTTCTGCAGATTAAAATCTCAACCCTCCTCCCAGGTTTCTGCTGTTTCTGCCGTACACAAACCACATGTTACATCACAGAATTTGAATTTATTTTATATAGTAGCGTCTAAGAAAATAAATAGATATTTCACATTTTTACAAAATCAAAAACACTGCAAACACTTCACGTACGTACACACAACATACAACAAAGTTCATCCTGTTACTGTACAGACCAAATTCTTATTGTCAAGTTTTTACATGAAATATGTTAGTGACGGTTGGTTATCTTTAAAAAAAGAATTTAATACTTTTTAAAAAATTATTGCCTGGAACAGACTTTAGTCAGTGAGGAATAATTTCAAATTAATCGGTGTGGATGTAATATTTCTTTCAGTTAAAATAGTTTTAAGTTGTGAGGAAGCTCACTGTTTACTTATTCCTTTGGCAACTTCAAAAAACTGAGTTGTGTTTTCATTGTCTGTGGGACACTTCCTACACGCTGTTGTCCATGATGACGTTTCCGTCTTTGTCTTTGATCCTGACCCGTCCAGTCGGGTAGTGGGTTTCCTGCCTGCCATCAGTGTAGACTGTTTTCACGGTGCCGTCTGGATACTCTCTCCTCTTGTAGTCAGGCGTGTGAACTTCTTTCTGGCCCGTGTTGAAGTGGATCTCTTTGGTACCATCCCTGGGAGACAAATGTGAATAAAGAGATAGGGTGAAAATAAAAGGTATGAGAGTGAAAAGTTGTCAATTGTTATGTACTAATCTTCCACCTGTACTTACGGGTTGACCTGAATGATGGTCCCGTCCATCAGCACACTCTCCTCTCTGCCATCGGGAAACAGGTTCTTCACAGTCTGGTCCGGAAAAGTGATCTCTTTACGACCATCTGGAAAGTGTTTCTCTGGAACAAGCGAACAAAAACTGTGCTGTATTATGGAACAAGCGAACAAAAACTGTGCTGTAATCATAGAGTTTGTGACTTACATACAGAACATATTTTTAACAGTTTTCATACATTTTTAAGCTTTAAGTTACAAAATATTTTTGCAAAATTTTGTTTGTTTTTTTTTACTCATTATATCCTGACTGTTTCAGATATCCAAGCGGTGAAACATCCTCAAGAAACCTAACCAAAACCTAAGCTGCTGTCCAAACTGGACTAAACCTGATGTGTTCTCACCAGTCTGGTTGTTAGGGAAGTGCAGGACCTCCAGCCCGTCTGGATAGGTGATGTGTGTGGTCTGGGCCTCAGAGTAGTGGTAGATCTGAGGACATCAGGCAGAAACTTTTTAATTTTATTTTATTTTTTATTTTTTAAAAGGTATTGACATTCAGGTGGTGAGTTGGAGAACCATATTCTACTACACAGTTCTAATAAGTGACCTCACCACTGTCTGGTCAGCCTTGATCTGTTTGGTGTCTCCATTAAAGAAGGTGACTTTGACACTCAGTCCATCGGCCGACACCTCCTTCTTGGTGCCATTTGGAAAGATAATCAGACGGTCACCACCAGTCAGAACCTTCTCTATCTGTAGACAGGAGACAGCCATTGGGTAGGTCTGTTTTTTTTGTGTTAGTTTTGATGATGTCACATTTTGTTTTGCTAACACACTCTCACCTTTCCATCAGGAAATGTAAATACTTCCTGAACTGACTCTGCTTCTTCAGCTGTGCTGCATTCAGATTCACTTGGCAGACAATCTTCTTTCTACAAAGATGTGTTTTTTAATTACTATGCTTATGGTGTGTGTAATAAAGTGTGTATTATTATACGAGCTCTTACAGGAAACTGATCTTGACTTTTATTAGCAGACGTTGACCTCTCTTCTGTCCTCCTACCAGGCATCGATGAGGAGGAGGAAGACAAGATACTTGGTCCTGAAGGCCTCCTCAGGCTGCTCTTCATCCCTATGGACCACGACAATTGACACAACACAAACACTCTAGTAAATGTATTTGGTCTGAATTAATTCTGTTCTTGTAGGGAGAGTCATCCACGTACCTGAAGCTGGCTGACTGCTCTCTGCTGTGCTGCGTTTACAGATGACTGCAGCAGCAGAGCTGCTCTGAGGAGGACTCTTATTGCTGCTGCTTCCTCTGGAGTCCAGGGGACTCTGAAAATGAAGAACAAGAGAGACGGTACAGAAACCTGTTCAGTTACAGTCAGGTCATTCCAGTTCCCTCACCTCTGCTATTCATGTCAGCCGTCTAATGATCTGATAAAACATGTTTATATTTACCAGGTCATGACATCATGATGTTTAAAACATGATGTTGTAGTTCATTTATTGTTTTCCATGGATTTTACATTGAAGCAGAGGTGAAGATAACTTAATTTTTAGCAGGTGCTTCATGTATTTTGAACAAAAAAATGAATAAGGGTCATATATAACAGTAAAGATTATAATCATGCTTACAGCAAACTTGACTCCTTTAGTAACAGTAGTAGGAATGTTGGAAAACATTCTTGGACCATCTTTTGTTTCCTTCTCCGCACTGACAGAGGTTTTCCTCAAGGTGCTGAGTCGAAGCTTCTCCAACACTTTGATCTGGAATATGACGAAAAAGTAATTTGTATTGGTTACATAACGAGTTAATGAGCAAGGCATGGTGGCAGATCGTATATCGGAGTAAAAGAAAATTTGGATTTTAAACGTTTGAACTTAGAGATGAGAAGCTGAGCACCTCTTCCTTCAGAGAACTGTTCTCTTGACTCAGGGAATCAATCTGCTGACGTTGTCGGTTGTGCATGGAGGCCCAGCGACTCTCCTTCCTCCTCAACTCCTCCTGCAGGGAGCTCAGCTGCTGCTTCAGCGCCTTCAGAAATGGACAAGGTAGGATTCAAGTTCCAGCTCATGTCTTGTCAGATTTCATGTCAGTAGGTGTCAGCTGATCAGCTGAACACTGAAGCTCACCTGGATCTCTTCACGTTCCTTCTTGTCAGGAATGGCTCTGGCTGCAATCACGTGTTTCTCAAACAGTTTTCGTTCCTTTTGCAGTTTCCTGGTTTCCTCTTTCTTGTACTCCTCAAACTTGGCAAGCTCCTGGGATCTGGTCTTCTCAAATTCCAAACAGTCCTTTCTAAAAAAAAAACCAAACATGGACATTTATTGTGGCCATTCAGAGCTACTTATCCTGTGATGAAAAGATGTCCAGTGCAGCCGGAAACGTCACCTGAGGTTTTCCTGGTTCTTCTCGTTCTCCTGCCTGAGTTTGGTGAGTGCAGCATTCTCTTTCTTGAATCTGTCGATCTCAATCTCTAGCTCCACGAGCCGCTCCCTCAGCTGCTTCGACTGAATCTGCTGGTCTGGACCGACACGCACAAAAGATGATTCGATTTTAGTTTTTTAAAAATAACCAAGATCATTTGTGTTTTATGTTTAAAATACTTATCAAGAATTGATCGCACTTGTTTCATTTTGCTGCTTTTCGTATTGTGGAGCGACAGAAGAAGCAGGACAGGGATGAAGAGGTGCATTCTGGGCCTTGAGATTCAGCGATGGGAACAGTTTGGTCATGAGTTGGGAGGCAGGTGGAGGTGAAGGAGGATTTGGCTCCTGATTGGAAAACGCCACGTTTTTATTTGCTGCCACCTTTCTCACTAAAGTCTGTATGGGTGGAGAAACACTGACGGTACTTGGATGTAACACTGGACTGACTCTTCCACTGTCAGCTGGACGATGAAGTAGAGTTTCATCCACATCGTTCCACGTGTCGTCATCGTCAAATACAACACCTCCCTGCTCCACCTCTTCATCCTCCATCAGCGTGGACTCGGGGTTGCTGATCACACTGTCGCGTTCCTCATCGCCGTCTTGTGAGACGTCTGAGTCTCTGCCGCTGTCTTTGTTCTGATAGGTCCACTTATTGTATGGTCGTTCGGATGGAGCGGGAAACGAGGCGACGGCAGCTTCCTGGTCCTCTGTTTCAGATTCAACGCAGGAGGAAACAGCTTCGCTCCCAGTGTCTTCCTGTCTCTCTGTGCCCTCACTTCTCTGCGAAGCTTCCGAGTTTATAGAGGAACTTCTAGGAGTTAATCCATCGCTGCTGCTCCTTTGGAGGGTTTTTGTAGGAGGCGACTTGATGGGTGTGGAGGAGAGCCGTCGCTGATGGAGGCCTTGAGCGGCCTGCACCTTTTTGTGCTGCTGGTCGAGCTGGAGTATCTAGAAGTACAGAATAGGAGAATCTGAAGTAAAAACTCTGTGAATACTTTTGTATTGATGATATTCAACTTTACTGAACGCAGTGTGCTGCCATCATATAAACATACATTTATAAACATATATAAATATATATGTACATACATACATATATGTATCTTTACACACATATATGCACTATTTATATAAATAGCTGTACATACATACATATATGTATCTTTAGACACATATGCACTATATTTATATGAATTTCTTATATATGTATTTAATATAAAAGTATTATTTACATTGCTCATATTTTAGTGCACTGTTACAACATACTAAAAAACCCTAACCCTACTGTGCAGCCGTGCAAATGTAAATGTTTGGAGGTGGTGACATGTTTTGTGATGTGGCACCTTCATGACAAATGAAGAGTTGGATGAGAAGGACAGTTCGTCCGCTGCCTGTTCCAGAAGCTCGAACTCTCCCAGCTCCACGTTTTCCAGCTGCCGGTGACATTCCCACTGCCGCAATTTCTCCTGGAAAGACAACTCAAAGGAGTCGACCGACCCTTCATCTCCTCCTCCTCCTCTTCCTCTTTGCTCTGCAGTTTTAACATCTAAGCCACTGTTTTTAGAGCTCCCCTGTTCTCCTAACACAACCACCTGTTTGGTTACAGGATTCGGCTTTGTGTCGTTGGGTCCAGGTTTCCTTCCGACCTGAGCAGACGGACCACCTGTCCTGTTGGTCTGATCCTTCACTCGTTGCAGTTGAAATTGTTTAGTTTGTCTACTGTCCACAGGAGATCCTGATCCTTCTGTATTCAGCCTTTGATAACTACCTAGAACCGTTCTAGTCCCTTTGGCCTCGTTTCTCAGGTTCAAAGGAGGAGAAATTAGACCTTTTAGTCTGTTCTCCTTGTTCAGCACTGCTGTTTTGCGTTGGACAGGGAGTTTTTGGACGCAGTTGGAGACCCCTCTCTGAATAGCTGCCGGCTCTGAGTTGCTTCGGGACATCACTCTGGCCTGCGGTTGTGGCTTTGAGTCGGTTTTCACGTCCTTTTTTGGAAACGAGGCTCTGCCTTTATTGGTAAACCTTGAAAGTCCCTCACCCCGCTTCAGGAAGGGTCTCTTGGAAGGAGCTTGTCCAGCTTCACTTTGATTCTGTGATGCGTAAAATATAATATGTAAATAAGCTAAACTAAATATCAGTGTGTTTCACTGGTAATGCTTTGAAGTGTTTTCTGACCTGCTGTTGCTGCGCAGCCTTCTGCCTCTGATCCTCCAGCATCAGCTGCTCTTCCAGTAGCTCTTCAAATGTCTTTGTGTATCCTCCAATACCTGGTTTAATGGGTCTGGGAGACAAACATGTACATGTTGTGAAAAGCAACCTCACCCTGGCTCCATAGTGGTGTTCTGACCCTGTTTACATTGTCCAGTTTTCCATGTTGCTGTTTTGGGCTACAACCATTTTTTGCAACACTCGATATGTAAGGTTTCCCTGTTTTCTAGGTCATCTCATAACAGAACAAATCTTGAACCTTGCTTGGGAAATGAGACACTGAACTACAGTAGGAAAACGCTGAGTATCTCGGTCGCTGGATCGACAGATATTTTTGAGTATTGGACTTTCTGACACTGATAACTGTATCCCTACTTTACAGTTATTAAACATCTCTGGAAAGACCTGAAAATGGCCGTCCTCTGACAGTCTCAATCCGACGGTACTGGACTTGAGAGGGTTTATAAAAAGAATCACCTAATCCATGGGTGGAAGGGTTACTGCACCGTACCTTAACTGACTCAACTGCAGCCAAAGGTGAGTTAATAAGTACTAAGTAAAAGGTCTCAGTACTTTGTATGAACATGAATGTGATATTTTAGTTTCCCTCGCTTTGTCATCAAAGAACACTGTGAGTCAGCAGCAACAACATTGAATTTCAACCACTTTTAAGGTCTTGGATTCTTACCTTTCTTGTGAGACTGTGGGATTTCCCATCCTTTGATCATTAGCTAAAGCTGCGCCGTTACTTAAAGGCGATGTGTTTTCCTGCAGTTGAAAATGTTCTGAGGTGTTTGTGTCTTCCAGTTGATCATTACTGCAGTCCAAAGTATCTGTAAGAGTCAAAAAACGAATTATCGGCCACTGATTTCATCATATTAAACTCTAGTGCTAAATGCACTGAGACACTGGTAACATATCCATAATTCCGTTTTACAAATCAAAGCCGTGCAACACAGTAAATAACTCTCACCTTCTTCTTTACTGTCATGGTCCACTTCAGTTGGATGTTTTGGTGGCGGCCATTCTGGTATCTCTGGATGTGGGGAGGCTGAACTTCCTGCATCATCTGGTATAAGCATAATTTTAGTTTAATGATAAGCAGATTATCTAAGTCATGTTGCTCTTTCCTTTTTTTCTCACCTTCTGTGCTTTGTTGTGCTCCATTTATCCTTCCCAGCAGCCTCTGCTGCTCTGCCTGCAGTCGGAGCAGCTCCTCCAGCTGCTGGGCTTTCAACTGCTCCTGCATGTGCTGCTGCCATTTCCTCAACTACAAATTAGGAAAGGATTAACAATATTTATTTGTAAAAGGTAATTTTCAATTATCCACATTATCAAAAGCATATTTTTAAAAAGTCCACATCCAAAATTATCCTCACTCAAATGTTCAATTATTTCTATGGTGTCCTCTTTGCCAGCAGGGACAGTGATTTAAGGGTAATTCCTTTACCAGGAACTCAGATTAAAGAAGCCAGGTTTTGAACCTCTGACCTTACACTCAGAAGTCAAACCACACTTACTTAACAAAAGACAACCTGTCCATTTCTAGACTAATGCTTCCCAGCGATTGGTCAAGGACAAGAAGGATTCTTAGTATTTTTCAAGTTCAATTTTGTTCAATTTTGTTTTATAAATTTATTGAACGGTTCAAACAGGGTTTGTTTCTCTTTTGTCAACACAAAATCAAGCTTGTAAAGCAGCAACAAAGATATAGAAGCACGTGTATAGCCCTGTCTATCACTTAATTGTATCATGCTGTAATGGTAGATAGTTCATAACAACAATAATTAATAATTAACGTGTGTATATGTTTACTCCATAATCATTTCCACACTATTTTAGCCTCTGTCAAATATAAAAATCATTAAGAGGAAATTTCTAATAATTAAAAACAATCAGCATAAGTTCATGTTTATGTCTGTTTAACTGTTTAAACAGGTCATGAAAACCAAACCAAGCGGAGGAGGGATGTTCTTACCTGCTCCAGTTTTACCTGGAGAGACAAATCCTGCGATTCATTCCCCGGTCTGTCAGTCCCAAGAGATGGAGAAACATCCACACAACTGCTGTCTGCAGAGGTAGGTAGTGGTGCAAAGTCAGAGGTGAAGGAGTCGTCAGGCTTCATTGGGGATGAGCCCACAGTAGAAATATGCCTCAGAGCTCCAGCCAAGTCCGTGCTAGGACTGAGGATCACTCCAGCTCTATGGCTGCTAGGCATCCAGCGAGCCACAAAGTCTGCGTGAGAGTACTGCAGCCCGTCTGGAGATGACATGTTGACAGTACCTTCTCAGGCAGGGCCCACTAATCTAGGGATTTGAAAAACAGATTATGGTGACAGGTTAAAGGGTTAATGACGCTGCATTTAGATCATGGTTGCTTATTTACTGTGAAATAGCATTAGATCTGACTCTGATCTTTTTCAAGGAAGTACTGTGATCTTGTTCATGTTTTTTTTAAGGGTGGTCCACCCTGTATATGTAAATGACAGCATTACAGCACCACTGTTGCTCTGGATGATTGATCCCTGATATTTTTAACTTATACCCCTTTACTGCCAGCTCTCCCAGTATATACTGTTTCTCTTCATTTTGTATTTTATAATCATTTATCATTGTATTTTAAATCCTAATAATGAGGGCCTCTCATTTTTTTTACACAGAAATCACAAAGGCTATTTTGAACATGTTGTTTTCAGCATGTGCCTTAGAAACAGTACTGTGATCTCTGGATATTGTTGACGATAGTATTTCCAGCTAGTTCCCTTTTTCTTAGACGAAATGTAGCATGCAATTATAATATAATAAATATGAAGAAAAATAGGAATAGAAATAGGAAGGAAATAGGAATAGAAATAGGAAGAAAAATCATATCACACATTGTTTCCCTGGTAGATTTAAACGGTTCAATTATTAAGATAGGAGTTACTGATCTTGCGATGGAAAAATTTTAATGTTTAAAAAATTATTTATTATTTGATAAACAGTGTGATATCTGAGGATTTGTCTTTAGCAAAAAAGCTTTTGTTTTTGATGTTTTGTTTTGTTTTTTGCAAACTAAGTCCGGTTCAAAACAAAAGCCAACACATCATAAAATATTACAAATAAGTACGTACTTAACTTAAAATGATCATGTGCTAAGTTTTAGCTCTTCTGTTAAATGTCTCGATGTATTTGTCACTCCTTTATTGTTACCCGTTCTGCGTTTAACGTGAGACACAAAGTCAAACATTGTTATTTCTATAAAATTTGGCTAATCAATTAAACATATTAATTAATTTATATACAACGTGATATTACCTTAAAGAAGGGGGGAAACGATGTCCCTGAAGTGTACTTCTGCGTTGTAAAATAATACAATACAAGTTTTCAAGGCTGCCGCCATGTCAAAACAAAGCCCGCGAGAGTCCGAGGAATTATGGGTAATGCAGTTCTATTCTTAGATCATTGTAGAGTACTTCGTAAAGTACATTTAAACATGAATGTTGTTCAACAGTTAGACTTTTTTTTACTTTAATTTAACTGTACGTGTGCCTATTAATTTGCCTAAACAAAATTAAAACGATAAAAAGACAGGGTTTGACCTCAAACATCTCGTCACATAAATATTTCCAACTACAGCTAAGTGACTGTGCTTTGCTTTATTGCTTTAAATTGATTTTTTTTTAAAAGCAATCGCATATACAAAAAATATTCCATAAATAATTTGCCCAAAATAGCCATATGTGACGTCCCAAAATATGACAGCTTGTACGTCCGGTTCAAGGTTAAATTATGTCGGTGTTTTCAAGATAAAGCTAATTGGGCGTTTAAAGCATAGAGTTGACCATTTCTGGATTATTTTTGTTGTGGTTTGGTGTGGATTTCTGTTCAACATCACTAAGCTTATATCAATAGTATTATACTAAAAAGTTTTTTTCCGTCACCATTTTTTTCAGAAATGACAACTTTGTATTCGGATTTTACTTTTATTGTCTAACACCGGATGCCTTCTAGGAGGGTTCTCATTGGTTCATTCATTCAAAGTGCCGAGTTTCACATTTCAGCAACAAAAGTACAAGGTTAACAGTAAAAATGGAAAAAGTAATTTGTACTGAACACGGTAAGTCCTTAAAGAAATACTGTACTTTTTGGACATGTACGCATTAACCGGAAATCAAAGTTAACCTTTAAACACTATGACTGTGCATTTGTGTTGTGTTTTCAGTTTCGTCATTGCTAAAATGTAGTCATCAATGTAGCTAACGAACTTTGCTCTTAATCCTTACACAGGTTGCGTGTGCATGTTGAAAACCGGTGTAAAAGAAGGGCCGACCAAGGGCAAAAGCTTCTACGTCTGCGTTAACAAACAGGGATGTGACTTTAGTCAAATTGCCAGGTACAGTATTTAACATACTAGACATGAATCATTACAAATATTCGCTGTGACAACGTAGGTGCAAAGTAGCATTTCTTACATTCAAATTCCTTAAACGAGTATTTTTTAGGTGCAAAGTAGCATTTCTTACATTCAGATTCCTTAAACGAGTATTTTTTGTCAATGAGTTAATGTAATTTTGTCAATATCCATGTACTCCAGAAACTATACATGTATGTGTGTATTTATGTATAAATTTACGTTAGTGCATATATAACTAACTATTTCATATAAAATTGTGCTATTAGTATAAATGCACATGTTCATGTTTGTCTGTTTGGTTTTCATCATTATTATCTTTTCGGTCCAGCATTCCACCGTCCCACTGCCTGCATCATGAGGACTCAATGGTAGAACTACAGGCTCTTACCTACAGTTCACAGCAGCAGTGTTACAGGTCAGTGCAGTTAGAACTAACCATTAAAGCATACAGAATGTAATTAAACATTTATTGTTGCTTACAGCAGGTTTTGTGGCCATTACATAGGGTGTTTTGTCTTCTACAGGGAGACTTGATGAATGTTTATTGTGTCAATGGGTTTAATGGTAAAACTCTAAATGAGTCATTAGGACTGAAAGAAAAATTACTTTGTTAATATTGTCAAACACAGTCACAGCACCAGTAGCATATGATAGAAATTGATCTGTTGTTTTTTTTTCAGATATGTGTAGTTTGACCTTTATTCATAACTCCATTTATTTGTGATTTTCTAGATTATTCTACCGGTGCATTGTGGGTAAAAAAGCAGGACAGAGATGGTGTGGAAATGTGCCATGGACTGGAGTAAGAATTGTACTTTCCTATCAGAATATAAGCTTGTCACAGAGGTTTACTGTAGGTTTCTTCACTACTTGTGCAAATATTACATTTTGAAAATATATATTTTTAAAATTGTGATTTGTCATGCTGTTTACTGCCCTCTGGTAATCCTTTAATATACAGTATGTAGTTTATGTAGAAGTGTTTAACACAACTGTTTCTGAAAATGGCCCCAGAGTTCCAGAGCATATTCTATGCTCTTAAAAAAAGAACAAATTGTAAAAACACATTCTATTGTTTTTATTTTTGCAGGTAGACAAAAAGCAAAAAATACCAGCTGACACTAAGGCTCAGCCATCCAGCCTCTCACCTGTCAGAAACCCCTTTAAGGCCTCAGAAAAAGTGGACAAGTCAAAGGTGAAGCAGTCTAGTGAAGGAGATGTAACAGACAGTCAGAAAAGTCACAAGAATGAAGCAAGAAAAAGTGATCGGAAGGAGCTGGAGGAGAGTACAGGAGGCGAAGCAGAAGAAGACAAAGAGAATGGTAAAAAGCTGAATTTAGCAGACACTTACAGGGGCAAACCACTTCCTGCAGGTATGAAAATGAAAAAGAGGTTGTCAGATGAGGAGAGAGACGCTTCTAAAGCCAACAATGTGGCTAAAACTGCAGAGGAGGTAAAAAGTAAGCTGGGGGAAACTCAACCTGATAAAGAAAGTAAGACACCACATGTGACTTACAAGGACTCACACCAACAACCAGCTCCCACTAAAAGCTGTGCGGTGGATCAAAAACAGACCGTCGAAAAAGAACTCTCTTCTAAAGATACAAGGGGCAGCACTGAGAGTTATTGTGGCTCCGCTAAAGCCACATCTGATCAACAAGGCCACTGCGATGACAAGAATTCCGAGGATGATGATGATGTTGTCTTGGTGTCAGTAAAACCTGCTGCTCAGACAACATCCCCTGCTTCTGCTGTGCAAAAAACCATCACGACTTTCCCAGGATTTCAGACTGCATCTAAGGTCAAAGGTCAACAGCCAGATCCTAGAGGCCTGAGGAATCTGCTCACTGCTCAGCTGGAGCAGAAGAAGGTGAGTGAAGAACTAACAGGAAAATGTTGTTAGATGTCTGGGCAGAATTTTACAAGGGTTTTTTTTTTTTTTTTTTTTTTTTTTTCAAGGTTACACAAGAGTTTTACTCTTCCAAATTTCAGGATTTAGGAATTACAGTGTGTAAAACAAAAGGGTAAAGTTATATTTAAAGTTACAGATGTTTATTTTCTGTCTTTCCTCTGACACAAGACCACTCTGTCTGTGGTGAACACGGCTGCTCTGCCAGATAAAGGTCAGAGGCTGAAAACACAGGTCAGGGAGCTGGAGGAGGCGCTGGAGTCCCTGAGTCTCAGTGCTGCTTCACAGACGGGTACGAGATCCTCACATCTGCTGTTAAAGATGTTATGTCTCTGCAAAAACCTTAACCTGACTCAGCCTAACTTACCCTTACTTTCGTAGGGTCTCAGGATGAAGCAGACAGCAGTGCCCCTCATCCAGCTAACGGTCACGCGATCAACCCGTTCAGTCGACAAGGCGGCACCATCCTGCTGCCTGCTGCGCCCACTGCTGGCCCCTCCCACAACCAAGCGTCCAGCAGCTCTATGGGACTTCAGCTAAGTCAGGGTTTGACCCAGACGTATGGAGGTGAGCTTCAAACCATGGCATGGTCTTAAAACACTTTCATTCAAACTTAACACCTTGTTTCTTTTCTCTCTTTTTTTGCAGTAAACCCACAGGTTCAGGCCTTCTATGGTGGCAGAATGACTAACGACCGTCTGCTGGCGGTGAAAAATGCCACCAGCGAGGCCATCGACCACTTGCACAACTCTTTAGAGTCCTGTCCCGATGCTGAGGCCGAATCTCCAGACCCCAGGGGCATTAAGGTGCCGCCTCTGCCATTGTCTATCAAAAATATTTATTTATTTATAGTTCATGTATAAGGATGATCAGAAAGAACAAGAGCTCAGCCTGTGTGGTTGACAAAAACAAATTGGTCCAATCTTGTGATTGAATGTCCAGGTGACACTCCTGGCCCATCAGAGGAGAGCTCTGGCCTGGCTGCTCTGGAGAGAAGCTCAGAAACCCTGTGGAGGAATTCTAGGTAGAGTCACCATTAAAAACATTATCGTTTTCTTTGTTCGATGTGTAAGGTTGCAAATAATGCTCTGAATAAAATCTGCATTAAGCAGACATTGTTTTGAGTTACTTAGAAAATACCTGGATTGAATGATTACGACGATATTGCTCCTCATAAAAATGTTCGCTTTTATATATCAGGTAGGAAAAGGTTAAATCTCACATATCAATGGAGTTTACCTTTTAAGACGTAGTTTCACTTACAGACAAACTCAAATATAAATATACATTTTAATACTGTGTTGGTTATGCAAAATTTTTTTAAGACTCCTCTCTTAATCATTCTAACTCTTTTTCCTTCTTGATTTCAGCTGATGACATGGGTCTGGGAAAAACCCTGACCATGATTTCCCTCATACTACACCAGAAGAAAAAGGCAAAAGTGGAAGATGAAAAGAAGGAGGAGAAAAAGCTGGATAAGTGGCTCTCCAAAACTGGTAACTACAACTTTTTAATCACCTCCTTTCATTTTTTTCCCCCAATTATTATTACTAGTTTACATGTAAATAAAACCTGATTATCTTGGGTCTGGGATCCAGACCCCAGTGTGGTTGCATCCAAAGGAACTCTCATCATCTGTCCTGCCTCTCTGGTCCACCACTGGAAGAAGGAAATCGAGCGACACGTGAAGAGCGGCAGACTGACGGTGTATCTGTATCATGGTCCAAACAGAGAACGCAGCGCTAGAGCGTGAGGGAGCCACGCACGTGTTCAAACATCATTTGTATTTGAATATATCTTTATATGATCAAATGTTTTTCCGTCACAGACTGGCTGATTATGACGTAGTGGTGACCACGTACGGTTTGGTCTCCAAAGAGATCCCAGTCCCAAAGGAGGAGACACAAAAACCCTCTGAATGTTCTGATGAAGCGGTGAGTAAAGAGATGTGACACTTTAACCACAGTATCTGACTCAATAATTTGACTATTAACCAAGGTCAATTTTTTTTTCTCCAGCCAAAAACCTCCTCCTCTTCTCCTCTAATGCGAGTGACCTGGGCTCGTGTGATTCTGGACGAAGCCCACAACATCAAAAACCCTAAAGTGCAGACGTCACAGGCGGTGTGTCAACTGAGGGCGTGTGCTCGGTGGGCAGTCACCGGTACGCCCATCCAGAACAACCTGCTGGACATGTACTCGCTGCTGAAGTAAGAGCATGAAAAAATCTTCCTATAAACCAAAATAAAATGAAAGAAATGTCCATGTCTCTCCCACTCACTCTGCCCGTTGTTCTGTCAGGTTCCTGCGCTGTTCTCCGTTTGACGAGTTCAAGCTGTGGAAAGCTCAGGTGGACAACGGATCAAAAAGAGGCAGAGAGAGACTGAACATCCTGACCAGGACTCTGCTGCTGAGAAGAACCAAAGACCAAAAGGATTCAACTGGAAACCCTCTGGTAAAGACGCACCGTGACATCGTCCTGGTCAGAACTGAAGAGTCTTTCATCTAGGTCAATGTCTCTTCATCCTGTCTTTATTATTTATGATATTCCAGGTGGTTCTTCCCGATCGCACCTGTGAAGTGCATCGACTCAAACTGTCCAAAGACGAAAAGGCAGTGTACGATGTCGTCTTCGCCCAGTCAAAGTAACAGTCTTTCTGTGACGTTCGTTGTGTGATGTGGTGTAACCAGTGACCCTATAACTCGCACTCGTCTTCATCTCTTTATCCTGTGACAGCAGTTAAAAAATGTGAATGATATTATACCAGTGTGACATCTTTATAGTCTGAATGTGATAAATGAGACAGAAGAAGCATAAAATATAGGTAGGTGGGGCAGTGGTGGCTTAGTGGTTAAAGAAGCGGACTTGGCTCCGAAAGGTTTCAGGTTCGAGTCCACCAGCCGCCAAGTTACCACTGATCACTGCCCACTGTTCACTTTGGTGATGGGTTAAAAGAGGTCAGAGGTCACAATTGGTTGTGTGCAGTGGTGTGCTGTGTCACAATAACAAGGAGTTCACTTTCCTCCTTCCTTCCTTGAGGTATTTCTGACCTTTTTTTCCTACAGATCCACTCTGCAGAACTACCTAAAGAGACATGAAGGAAACGATGTCAGCAAAGGAAGCAAGTCTTCAAATCCTTTTGATAAAGGTCAGACTTCTGCTACTACGGTACATTAATAACAGAATAACAACAGTACCTATTGTCACCACTTTGGGATGGTGTGCATAAAAAGCACATTAAAAGATTTTAAAAAATGTGTTCGTTTGTCCATTAATATTGACTTCGATGTCTCTGTCTCACTGCAGTAGCCCAGGAGTTTGGTTTGTCTCAACCTGATTCTGCCGTGTCCAGCTCCCAGCAGGCATCGAGCACCGTCCACATCCTGTCCCTGCTGCTGCGCTTGAGACAGTGCTGCTGCCATCTGTCCCTCCTGAAGAAGGTTTTTCATATATATATATATGCAGTATTTACTTGCAGACATGTGACACATTGACACCCAATGCGGTGGTTCACTTCAGGTCACTGGGTAAATCTCAGTTTTTTCAACATTTTCAAAACCCCTTGTTTTTAAACAGTTGTGCAACAGGGCTCACTGTCAACAGTCCAGTTGATAAGAAATGCAATCATTTGTCAGGTTCACTGCAGGATTCAATGTCTAAACACAGTTCTGTTGACACTGAGGGTAACCAAAATCTTAATCTCAAATCTTGGTGACTCCGGATTGGCTGTAGTAGTTATTGCGCCGACATGTGGACAGGTTTATTAATGCATGAACAAAATGGCTAATGTAGCATTTTTCATGTTTCCTTTTCTCCTCTCCCTGCTCAGACTCTCGATTCTTCAGAGCTCCAGGCTGATGGCGTCGTCCTGTCTCTGGAGGAACAGCTCAACGCCCTGTCTCTGTCCTCAGGCTCCTCGTCCTCAGACCCTGATCCTAAAGACTCTGTGGCCCTGAACGGCACCCGCTTCTCCGCCCAGCTGTTTGAAGAGGGCAGGGAGAGCACCAAGGTCAACAACGTCTTTCTCATAATAAGAACCAACTGTGTTTAATATTCCCTGTAACTATAGTCCATTTAACTGTTTTTATTCTCATATTTTCCAGATTTCCTCTATGGTCTCTGAGCTGAAGGCCATCAGACAGAAGAGCGACGATCAAAAAAGGTAAAAAACAAAGTCAGATCAAACTCTTTTGAGTTAGGATTCTGTCAATTTATTTGTCCATTAAATTATTTCAGTGCCTATATTTGCCACTTAAGTCACAAAATCATTGATTTCCTTTGTTTTAGTTTTTTGCTTTCTTGTAAAGCTTTGTGATCAAACTGTATAAAATCTCAGTTGTGGATTGTTTTTGTGTCTGTGTGTGTCTGCTCCATACATATGCGCCATTAATGTGATTCTCAGCTTATCATTTAAACATACTTTAAATCTGGTATATATTTCTGTCTCATCTTCTCCACTGCTCATTTTCCCTTCTCTCTGTTAATAATACACAGCGTGATTGTGTCTCAGTGGACCAGCATGTTGCAAATCGTTGCCCTTCACCTGGAGCAGATGGGCTTGAGATACGGCGTCATCGACGGCAGTGTCAACCCCAAACGTCGCATGGACCTGGTGGAAGAATTCAACACCAACCCGAAGGGACCAGAGGTAGGAGGTCCCACCTGCTGCTGCAGAAACAAAGAAATGACAATATAATAATTAAACACGACATCTCTGTTTCATTTATTGCATCCGAATGGAATAGTTTTGCTGAACCAGATCTCAGTGGATTATTTGTCAGTTGTTTATTTGCTACAGTCTGATTCTATCACATCCAGTGAACGTATAGATTCATATTTGTTTTCTGACTGTGTGCTGAAGGTAATGCTGGTGTCTCTCTGTGCTGGAGGAGTTGGACTCAACCTGATTGGTGGAAATCACCTCTTTCTCATCGACATGCACTGGTGAGAAACCAGCCGTCCCTTCTATTTATATTTAAGACCATTGCTGTGGTTATACTGGTTATGCTCTTCATATGACCAATCCTAATCATTTCCAACAGGAATCCAGCCTTAGAGGATCAGGCTTGTGACCGAATTTACAGAGTCGGACAAAGGAAAGATGTCACTATCCACAGGTAACGTTCATGGTGTAAGGTAAAAGTAATTAATCCTATTGATGTTACCATATAAAAATGTCTCTCGTAAGTGGTCAAAGGTTTTGTTACGCTGGTCATAACAAGAGGTCAACAAATATTTTCTTCTGTTTGTGAGTGAAAGAGATTAATAATCAATAATAAACTTTATTGATCCTACAATTTGTGTTGACAGCCGCCACATGTGGTTCCTCTGCAGTTTAGTAGTACATCTAATATATTTGATTTGATTTATTTGCGATTAAATGAAAAGATTCCTGTCGTTGGTAGGTTTGTGTGTGAAGACACAGTGGAGGAGAAGATTTCCACACTGCAGGAGAAGAAAAAGGAGTTGGCCCAAAATGTTCTGTCAGGAACAGGAAGCACCTTCACCAAGCTGTCGTTGGCTGACCTCAGAATCATTTTTGGCGTCTAAGATATGAGAAAATACTAAGAAAGCTGTGACAGCTGTGAGTCTAACATATTAAGCTCGTCTCGTCAAAATGCTATAATGAGCATTGAAACATCTTCATTTGTTAGATCAGTGTGTCACAAACATTTTATTTTCAGCTTTTATCCATCTGTTTAAATTTAGGGCTGTTTTTTCTTTCTTTTAAAGTTCTTCCTATGTAATATAATGTCTATGTGTATGTTGGTTATGTTTTGTGTGGACACAAGAGATCCTTCTGTCAAAATTGTTTACATTTCAGTCCCCCCATTGCGTAAGTTGTAGTATTTTTCCTTTGTCAATTTTTCAAAAATAAAAGAAACATTCCGTAAATGTATTGTTATTTATTGCAATTTTATTGTTTTTGGCAAAAGATCAAAGGTCAAGATGATGGGATATAAAAAAATAGTGTTAGGTTGAGTACTTTTCCCAAGGACACATCGACTGGCAAATACATTTTGTTTAAATTTTCCTTTGATATGACTTCTCTATGCAAATCATATGACATTTTATTAGATAGATTGACTCCCCTCGGAAAAATAAACTTAACTCCATAAAGTCCCATTTAACTAATTTCAACAACAAAAACAACCAAGATTAATTAACAAACAAATTATTTATACTCAATAATACACTATAAGAGTACAATTTTATAATAATTATATATAAGATAATTAAGAGATGTACAAATCCACGATGGATTAATAAATGTTGAATTTAAAAAAATACGACGGTTATTCCGTGTATGGTTGGGAGGAACTTGACCTTTGTGTTGCCTTCAGCGACTGTCGTAAATTTAACTGGTATCTTGTTTAGCACAAATGCAATCATTCCATAATTTGGACTGTACGTGTCAGAGTAGCCCAAATCTGTAATGCAAATTTAACATTATTGTTTTAATTGCAGATGTAAACTACTACGCGATATACTCTTGTATTTATTATAAAATAATTTTAATTCACGAGTATGACGGAGGTACCGAAATGCAGCACGCTGTTAGCGGGCGGTAACTGGTGCCGCCTCCTCTGTCTTGCGGTGCAGTTGTACTTGACGATAGCTTTGTTAGAGCTATGGTAGAGTACTTCGTCGTGAAAACAGGCTCGTTTTAATCGAAATTGATAGCGACCTACAGCCATGGCGGCCGAGGGCGAACGGCTAGAGCCCGGCGAAAGCGAAGAGGAAGACGTCTATGAAGTGGAGAGAATCATTGACATGAGAGAAGAGGAGGTAAAATCCAAGACAACTTGCAAGCTAATGATTAGCTTAGCTGCTTGGCGTATTTTGTGTATAAAAACATGGATGACTTACGACGGCGTCCACATTTCTGTGAATACAACACCCGAATATAAAGAAAAGATAGTTAATTTTATTACACGACACACAGTCTCCTCTTGAGAACGTTTACGTGGTTAGAATTGTGTCGAGGGCTCTCATCATTGTTTTTCTACACTCTTTACTTCCATCATGTCCGCTCGGCATTTCTCTCGCTAAGGCCAAGGACGAAGGTTGTGACTGAGAGCAACTAGCTCTGGTCTTGTTTGCATCAGAAAAGCGCGGTTTTTCACATTAAACTTATCTCTAAAATACCACGAGATACTCTGTGGCTAGTTAAACATCCTGTGCTAATGTGCATTCACCAACTCGTGTTAATGGTGAAATCGTGTAAGTCGTTGCATATTTTGACTGTTAATTCATATACTTGCAGAACATATTCTACATAGACATTAGAATATACATTTATTTTAGGTTTAGAATAGAGTAGAACATGGTACGTCGTTACAATTCTATTGTTGCTCTTGTATCTTTGTTTTTTACAGCACGCTGTTTATTTTTTACAAGGCTCCCAAAAGGCATGATTGGGTTTTAAATATACAATTTTAGGATTTGTTGAGGATTGTTAAAAAACCTTTTTGACTGGTATCTCGATAGTTGCAGCCGCTATGTTCAGGTACTTTTTTAAAATACGTGTAGTGCAATTAAAATTACATATATTATAAAACTAGTTAAGCAGCTCCGTTACCGATACTAAAATGTAACATTAGTAACAGAATATTGAGGTGTAGATTATCTAAAGATTAAGATTGCTGCCAACCCAGTTTACGTGCATTGGTTCAGTGAGTGCAGAAGCATGGCGACATCTTGTTTGTTATCAATTGTACTGCTTCCAAAAATCATATTGACAGAAAGTTCCAAAGTGCTTTTTTCTACATCGTGTACCCTAATCTTGGAAATAGTGATTTTATGCATTTAACAAAATTAAAAAAAAAAAACAATTCAGTCTGGCTCTTGAAACTGTTCTGACTTTTATATTGTTTAGAATCTGTCCCACAAATTAAAGTGTTTGCCTGCCAAGTTACCACTGAGGTGCTCTGAGCAGGGCACCGCCCCCACACACTGTTCCCTGGGTGCTTGAGCGGTCTCCTGGGTACACATTTCATTGTGTGCTGTGACACAATGACAATTCCTCACTAACGATGAAGTGCTTATATACTACCAACTAAAGTAATCAGTACTGCTAACCAAACTTTACATGTTATTTAGTACTTGGTGCATAAAACAAACTTTTACGGTTCAGTTTCTGTCAGGGCTGCACAATTAATGCAATTGCAGTAGCAGTGTCCTGCCTTGCAATTACACTTTATTTAAAAAAAAAACAAAAGTGCTCCAGTGTAATTTTTGTAATTTTTTCTCAAATGTCTAGTAGTTGAGTGTTTTTATATCTTTATTTAAATAGTTGTATTATATTTTTGCACAAAATTACAATATTACTCCATTTAAATTTAATCTGATCTTAAAATACAATGAATACACAGATCACAAGCTTTTGGGGTCCATGCCCAGGAGTTCCAACTCGGGGTGTCTCCTACATGTTTATAGACTCTGAGATGTACTGTCTACAACAGTGATTCTAATATTGTCCATGATGAGAAGTGGTTGTTTTCTGCAGAGTACCATTTTAAATTTTGAACACATTCTTATGTACTGTAACACCCTCTGTGATATCCATAATTTGGTCAAAATGTTATCATTTTTTAACCTGCTTTAAAATATATGCACCATTGGTCTGTTATTTATCTGAATATCTAATTTAAAGGCGATTGATCGAAATAACATTAACATTCTCCGCATCATTTACGTATTCTATTGTGCAACAGCAATACTACTAGCATTAACTGTGTTTACTGTTTGAACAGGCCTGTAATGGACCAGACCTATGATCTTGGATTGAGTCACTCACTTTAATTTATTAAATATAGTTTGGCAAAATGTTGAACATTGTTGCTGTTGTTCACTTTTGAAGTAAATGCAATGTGTTTTTTAAGTCAAATAAAAATGATCTGAATCAACGAGTCACACAAAAAACTGGAAGAAAATTGCAATCAGTACATACCTAAATTTTAACACTTTTTAAATCTGTCTTTCTTCAGGGGGATGTCCTTTATAGGGTTCGGTGGAAGAACTACTGCTCTGACGATGACACTTGGGAACCAGAGGCTCATTTAGAGGACTGTCGTGAAGTCCTTTTGGCTTTTAAAAAGAATATTGCTGATGCCAAGAGAGAGGCAGAGGCAAAGAAATGTTTGGTAAGTGATGTGTGTGTGTGTTTCACTTTAACTATCCCAGCAGCTTATGTGCTTCTTGATACTGATGTGGTCATATTTTTCCATTGGGTAATTGTTCATCCATTGTCTGGTGTTGGTATTCAGGATTTAGGAATCATGTTTATATTTGTTTGAAATAAATGTGACTATACCTATTGCATTAATGGCTTTACATTTCATATTTTCTCATAAACATACTTCATGTTCAGGTCACAGTTTCAATGTCAATGCTGAAGACCGTCAGTTTTTGCCAGGTATTTCCTTAGAAAGCAGTGAACTTCAGATGCAGGAAGAGTATTTGCATAGAAAACTGATAAGAATTTGATGAATCATTTTAAAACATGCCTGTGCTTTGCTCCCAGAAGCTGCCCACCAAGAGCGAAGTGTTTGATGCAGATTCAGAGAGTGACAGTGATAAAGAGGTTCCAGCTCCTGAGCCAGTCAAGAAGAAAAAGAAAAAGGAGGAAGAAGAGGAACCACCTCCTAAGGACAAAAAGAAGAAGAAAGACAAAAGAAAAGATACACCTCTGCCAGCCCCGGAGACTGAAGATGAGGTAGAGGAGGGGAGAGCTCGGACTCCGTCTCCTACCATCAAGGACAAAAAGACTGAATTGAAAAAACGTCTCATGGATTCTGAGGACGAGGATGAACCCGTTCCTTCCAAAAAGCAAAAAAAGGACAAAGGAAAGGAGGTAAAGAAAGACAAAGAGAAGGCAGATGAGGGGAAAAAAAAGAAAGTAAAGAAAGAGAAGAAAGTGGAATCTTCAGAAGACGAGGCCCCAACACCTATGGAAGAAGACCTAAGCGATGGGACGTCAGAGCCCCAAAACGAGGACACTGCAAAGTTGGCCGAGAAATTTCGATTAGATGACAAGTCCAGAGAAAAGAAGGGGAAGTGGGAGGTAAATATTCACGGCATTAAGGACCTCATAGTGGACAAAAAGGTCAAAAAAGCAGACAGTGCCCTGAAGGAAAGTAACATCCAAAAGCTGAGGAGCCTCACCACCAAATCTAAAGAGGAGAGTGCTCTGCACTCAGACTCTAGTGATAGCTCCACTTTACATAAAAAAACCAAGAGCAAGGGGAAGGACAGCTCGGCATCTTCATCAGGTAAAGGCCCGTCTTCCTCTGTGTCCTCATTGTCAACTTCCACCTTAGCTGCTAGTACTAAGAATAAGGAGGAGGACTCATTGAAGGAGGAGTCAGGGGGACCGAAGGACACCGCCGGACCCACGAACATGTTTGAAAAGTTCCTGATGAACTGTGAGGCTAAAGATCGAGCTCCTCGGCGACAGTCCAATCACCCACCTGTTCCAGAGAAGAGCGCTCCTAAACCAACAAAGGTACGGCCATATTGAGCTTTCTATGCCAGTGAAGTTTCACATCACTGCTGCTTTATTTTCATTTTATCAAACAATATGTCAATATTTATTGTGGGTTTTTTTTCTTCTTACTAGCTTGTAGGAAAAAATGACAAGATTCCTAAGCCGACAAAAGAGTCTCCAGTACAGAAAACCGAGCCCGAGAAGACAGAGAGGGTCAAGCAATCAGAAGGTAAGAGAGAAACAAGAACTGACAAAAACAGTAAAGATATTAATAACATTCTGTTTATCAAATTTAGGGAAATGTTTACGTGTAAATGAGGAAGACTGTGTTGATGATGGCATCTTTTTCTTTTAGTCTCCAAACCTTCTCAAAGTTGCGGCTTCAGCCTGGACAATGATGAGCGGGAAGATTCTAAGGAGCGACGAGAGAAGACCGAGGATCAACAGAAGTCCGGATTGGAAAAAAGATCAACAACAGAGGACAGGAGAAGGAAGAGAGAGGACAGTGAACCCAGACTTCTAATGGCCTGTGATGACAGTCAGGGCTCTCAGGAGCCACAAGAAGCCCCTGAAAAAAATGGTACATAAATACTCGGACCCTGAATAATTTTTATATGGGAAAATTAAGAATTTGTAAAGAACAAAATGAAGTAAGTAAGTTGTTTAAATAAGCTTTCTGTGCATGTGTCCGGTACAGAGAGGGCCCAGGCCACACTGAGTCTTGGAATGGATCTTAACCTGGACTGGATGACTCTGGACGACTTCCAGAAACATCTGAGCGGAGAGGATGAGATCCTGTCAGGAACCCCGTTATCACCCAGTGAGTGTTACTCTGTCTCTAAAACCCAGGTTATGGACAGTAAGGAGTACCAGGAAGTTGTAGATAAATACATTTTTCAGACTGCAAAGATTGTAATGGCCGTGTCTAAGTTTAGATCATGGTTCTCCCTCTTAGGTGAATTACGAGACGCTGTGAAGTGTGGTGATTACATGGCTGTAAAATTGGCACTAAATTCCAAAGAGGACTACAATCTGGACCAAGAAGTAAGTCTTGTCATTACTAAATGTTTAAGTGTTTTCCCCATTTTCTTTTTGTAGATGATTATAAAGGATAAAAATAATAATTTATTATTATTTGTTTAATCACGTAAAGTTCTGGGCATTTATTTACACATTCAATTGAACGTTCACACCTTGGTTGCCCCAGTGTGTCTGAATGGGAGTGATGGTTTTCATTTATATTTGGACAGATGCTATTGGTCCCACACTTGAAAGTTTAAGCCCATTTAAACTGACTCCAGTTACTGAAGTAAACCCCTCTTTCATCTGGGTGTATCTGTTTTTTCACTAAACTCACCTTTTTAAATGAATTGCAGGGTATAACCATTAATTTAATTAACATGCACATAATTAGAGGGTTAAAACATTTATTACATGAATTGAAATATGAATTAAAATAGATTATAATAGCATACAGATGATTTAATGACACAAGTCCACCTTGACCCTTGTTGGCCAAATATCTCTAATAAGAAACACACTTAATGTAAAGATTAAGCTTGGTTTATACACAAAACAATACCTGAGATCACTATAACAACAGATAGACACACTGTAGTTAATACTTAAATAAATATACATTTGTTAAGTAAATTCAAAAATAAGAAAAGACTTCAATATCAAAATATATATCATAACACTTGTATCTGATGAAACCAAGCCTATCCATGGGCTACTTTAACCCTGCAATCAAGAATAATCAACTGAGAATAATTATCCTGTAAAATAGGTCATGAAAAGAGTCATCCTCCCGGTGGTCATGAAATATGTTAATGGTGTTAAACTCTAGAGTCGTGCCAGTGGGGTTGTGTGGTCACTGGCATGACTCGGGAGTATGATCCAAACAGCCCTTCCGCAGGAAACAAAACTATTAACTACTGATCATTCTAGTGAGGTGTTTGGAAGGGCTTGTCTGGGGCCTGCACAGAATACCTGCAGAGCTTCAACCATCCTCCAAAAGCCTTCTAAGGACCTGTAATCTTATCTTCTTCATAATTTAATTCACAACCATCAAATTGTATTGGTTGTATATTTCTGTTCTCATTTTTATTGGGTTATTTGATGGTTTCAAACCAAACAAATACATAAATGTGTCAGCAGCTGTGGTCACAGAATTATTACAATATTTCCACGTTGTGGTTTCTGTGTGGCTATTTCTGTTACTCATTTACTATATAGTGCACAGAATTTTTGAATGTACACACTACATGCAAACTGGAATATGTGTCACGTTTTTTTCTGAGACGTTTTTTTGGGGGGGGGGACTAAATGCGGTGATGTTCTTACTTTTTTATTATGTTAAATATGCTTTCTGCGGAACTAAAATATATCGAACATTTTAAAATGTTTTTTTTTTCTTCCTTTCTTTTATTCAGTTTCATAAGGTAAGTCTTCTCCTGTGTATTATATCTAGTTGTGAGTCCTGAAATCTCTCAACAAGTGAGGTTTACAGGGCGGTGGCAGCTTCATAGATCACAGGTACAGCTTTAAATACTGATACCAAATACTTCATTAAAAAAAACCATTTCTTCAAGATTAACGTCAACAAGCGTCAGAGGTTTACATCTGCACAATGGGAAAACATGCTTGGTCACATCTCAAAGCGTGTCTGCAAGGTAGGAGCACGTTTTATCTTCTTTCTAAAATGATTTAATGGAAATGTTTAATATGCCTTTCAAACCAATTCTATGGTAGACATACATGCATTATTTTGCATGACATTGTTAAAATAAAAGATGACAGTATCAATTGATACTGTTTTGTGGAAATATCTATGTAGTAAACATTTAATGTCCCAAGAATAAACTATATATTGTTTATATATTATTATTTATATATTGTTAGCTGTATATTTGTATTGCATCTTACCATATATGTTGCTTATTTAAGTATTATGTATTTCAGCATTTCTATTCCTAGGGTAGATGTACACTCACCGGCCACTTTATTAGGTACATCTGTCCAACTGCTCGTTAACACTTAATTTCTAATCAGCCAATCACATGGCGGCAACTGCATTTAGGCATGTAGACATGGTCAAGACAATCTCCTGCAGTTCAAACCGAGCATCAGTATGGGGAAGAAAGGTGATTTGAATGACTTTGAACGTGGCATGGTTGTTGGTGCCAGAAGGGCTGGTCTGAGTATTTCAGAAACTGCTGATCTACTGGGATTTTCACGCACAACCATCTCTAGGGTTTACAGAGAATGGTCCGAAAAAGAAAAAATATCCAGTGAGCGGCAGTTCTGTGGGCGGAAATGCCTTGTTGATGCCAGAGGTCAGAGGAGAATGGCCAGACTGGTTCGAGCTGATAGAAAGGCAACAGTGACTCAAATAACCACCCGTTACAACCAAGGTAGGCAGAAGAGCATCTCTGAACGCACAGTACGTCGAACTTTGAGGCAGATGGGCTACAGCAGCAGAAGACCACACCGGGTGCCACTCCTTTCAGCTAAGAACAGGAAACTGAGGCTACAATTTGCACAAGCTCATCGAAATTGGACAATAGAAGA